TCAGCAGGATATTGACTCCTCTAGAAAGGTTTGGGGAGTGAGTGGAATGTTAGTAGGATGGTTATGTTGTAATTTATGGGGCTCAGGAGGAGGGGTGAATTAATCAAAGAACATATAACAGTAAGAGGAAGAAAAGTTGTAGAAGGTACCAGAAGACCACACGCATTTTTGTACACGCAAACCTTGCCCACGAAAGCAACACAGCCCCTGTGTTCAAAAGCAAGGAACCAAACATGCAGGTGAGATGTACCTCTGGGCTTGTTCAGCACAGGGCTTGGGTGATGAGGCAAGAGGGCTGCTGGGCCTGGACACTGTGGGAAATAGCAGCCCGTGAGCTAGCACCCATCCTGCCTCCAACAGGACAGGGTATTCATCTGCATTAGCTCTTACCTCAGACTCCGGGCTCTTACAAAGGGTGTCAATATTAATGTGTGCTGGGTGCTTGACACATTCCTCCTGCACTGCTGTCCCCTTTGGAAAGCATCAAGTATTTCAAAGAACTAGAAAATGGTATGCCCTGCTCACAAATGAACTGCCTGGATGGAAAGCATTTTCAGCAAAGGTTGTGCTTTAATTTCTGCATATAAAGCCATTAATTTCTTAAATGACAGGAGATATGAACCATAAAAGTAACGGATATCAAAGGAAGGACATGCTTCCTGCCTGGCTCCTCTGATCCTCTGAGGATCCAAAGGACAGGCTATCAGCAAGTCCCAAGATCTAAGGCACTGCGGTGAGAACAGTCTCCACGCAGAGGTCACCAGTGAAAGGCCATGGAAAAGGAGGGCACAGCCTGTTCCTCAGGGCGATGCTGCAGGCATGTCACTGGTTTCACGTGCTGTTGGTGTGCTCCATTCTCTGGTACTGGGCGTGTGTGCAGCTCGCTCCTCTTCCATGTCTCTGCTTAAATGCTTTTCCTTCCCACACCCTGCCAGGCAACAGTGAGATCAGCTGCTGCTGGCAGGGACCAGGAGCTAGGCAGGGGTTTACAGCAGTTACCCTTCCCCAGCCACCCCCAGGGGGTGTGGGCTCCCTCCCCTCAGCACTGTGGTCTTCTGGCTGCACAACCTCCCTCTGCTCCAGTGCTGCTCACTCTGCCACCTCTTTCACCACCAGAACTACACACACACCTCTGCCCCAGAGGAGAAGAGTCAATCTAGGATTATTTTAAGGACCTCACTGTCCTGACCTGCCTGTGCCATGCTCTGGTCCTGCTCTCCTCCCCTCACCCTCTGGACTTATTTTATTTATTTATTTTTTAGCCCTTTTCCCCCCTGGTGTCCTGGTGCCCTCCAGCAGCATGGCTTCAAGACCCAGGGCAGTGACCTGCTGGTGGACCACACTGCAGCTCTCACACCCTGTCCCACAGCCCTGCACCAACCTGAGGTAATCTTAGCAGTACTGACCAGACCTGGCAACAGCCCTGAGCTGCCAAGTGCCAAAGACCTGAGGGCCTGCTGGTGGGAAGCACCCAAAGCCACCACTCAGGGTGGTACAACAGCACACGTACCGTTTCCTGGAGAACTGCTGGTCTATTTCCTCTAAGGATTGTCCTTTTGTTTCCGGTACAAAGAGGTAAATGAACACAACAGACATCACTCCCACCAGTCCATAGAAAAGAAACACCCAAGAGAAACCAATGGCATCTGCAGAGAGATTCAAGTGCACGAAGGGTCCATTGGAGGTAGGTGACATTGCGGGATACGAAGGAGAAGGCAGCCAAGCTCCAGGGCCCAGCAGTGCCCACTGAGTGTCTCAGTTTAGAGCTCTAATTGAGAGCTAAGCAAGAAACACTGGAAAGCTACAAACTCCGTGTTTCCCTCATATTGCAGCACTGTAGCACAGCCCAGTGGGCAATGGATTTTTAAAAAACAGGCAGTGCAGGGGCTCAGACTGCTGGTGCCTGGTTTTTCTGCTCTCAGCATCATCAGGGTCCCACCTCTCCCAGTGTCAAGAGCTCAGAGTTCAAAACATGACTTAATCTCCAAATGGCTTGTGGTGACCACCCTCCCATACCACCTGAGGGCGTTGAAGAGATAGGGGATGGCCACTTACCAATAAGGTCCAGGAATGTAAGGCTGATCAGTAAATAAGCAGCCCAGTTAAAGCTGCTGCAGAATGCAAAGGCTCTTCCTCTTATCCCAGCAGGGTAGATCTCACTGAGGACCAGCCAGGTCACTGCACAGATTACAGAGAGCAGAAAGAGTTGTAGGGGTTAAAGCTTCCTTCATAACAGAGCAGAAGACCCTCAGTCCCTTTGTTCTCAGCCCTCTCTTTCCTTTTCACAGGGTGTGAGGAAAATCAGGAAGTGTTTCTGGGATGCTCTGATTTTGCAATGAGCATGACAGAAAAAAAAACCCCAAAACATTGCAAAGGTAGTAATGGGATGGAAGAGAAAGTTATTCTAGTGCTGTACCACCCTATAGCTGACAGCTGCAGTGCTAGGAACTGATTCAGTGGGCAGAAGGGGGATGTATTTCCAGTTCCCAGACACTGAGCTGCTTGGAAAGCAGATGCATAATGAACATTCCAAGCAGACTGCAAAACCAGCCCTAGCTTTATTCTCTGGGTTAGTGCAAGGATGTATAAACACCATACTTACTTGGCCCAAATCCAATTGAGAAGGCACTCATGAAAGCCATCATGCTCAGCAGTGTCATCCAATTTAGAACCAGGTGTTCTGTCCAGGGAGCACCACTTAAAGAAAGGCCTGTGCTTGCCACTATCTCTTCTTTGGACTGAACTACCAAGCTTCTTTTCTGAGCGAGGGAAGCATCAGGAACAACCTCTTTGCTTTGAGTATCAACAAAAAAACTTGCCAGGCTCCTCATGGCAGCGAAATCAGGGCCTGCCTGACTTCTGCCCACCACTGGTGGGATGGATGGCACAGCAGGCTGGGAGAGTAAGGGCAGCGGGGGGCGTTGGGATGCACTGGGGTCTGCAGCTGCCTTGCAGTCCCTGTCCAGGGCCAGGGGAACAACGCGGCTGGTGAGGCCGATGATGGTGACCGAGATGGCCATCACCACACAGCCAACCATGAGCAGCACCCTCCTGCCAGCCCTGTCTGCAAAAGCCATTGCGATGAGTGTGGCCACCACCTTTATTGCCCCCAGCCCAACAGAGGCCAGGATGGCTGAGGAGTTGCTCTGGAACCCCACTGAGTGGAAGATTTTGGAGGCATAGCCCAGCACATTGGGCTGCCCAGTGAACTGCTGGAAGAGCACCAGTCCCAGGCCCACCAGAGTCCGCCTTCTCATGTTGTCTCTGCTCCTAAAAAGATCAAGAAATGAGTAACTTTTCTCCTTATAGGGCTCTCGTTTTGCCTTCTCTCTGTCCTCAGTGCTCTGCAACTGAATGAGGCCCTTCTGGCAGTCTGCGTCCCATGAGCTTAATTTGACAGGGTTGACTGGGAGAAAGAGGATGGTGAGGAACTGCATGGCTGCTGGGACAATGGCCAGCCCAAACATGTACCTCCATCCCTCTTTCAGGTCTGCAAAGATGTAATTCATTGCATAGGACACCAGGATGCCAACAGTGATGCCTACTTCATAGAGAGACACCAGCAGCCCTCGCTGATGAGCAGCCACCATTTCTGAGACATAGATGCAGCAGGCCATGGATGAGACTGAGATAGCAAAGCCTGCTGTCATGCGCCCAACGATCAGCACAGTAAATGACTTTGCCAATGTGAGAATTAGGCTGCCAACCAACAGGACCAAGTTGCTGACCAGGATTGCTTTCCTCCGTCCATGGCGGTCAATGAGGATCCCCCCAATCAGGGAGGCAAGCAGAGCTCCAATAAGGAGAGCACTCACAAGGATTTCTTGCTTGAAGCAGCTGAGGTGAAAGTCTATCTGCAATTGCAGCAGTGCACCAGAGATAATCCCCAGTTCATATCCAAATATCAGCCCACCCAGGAAAGAGACTGTTGCAGACAAGACGAGGACCAGCACTGCACGACCTGCAAAACGAGCAAGCAACACTAGGTTCAGTTTTCTGGTGTTAGCAGGTAAGCTATCAGCAGGTAAAAATTGAGAAATGCTCCCTTGGGACACTCAAAGTTTTCCATCTACAAAGCCATGATGCTGAATTTCCCCCAAAAGGCACTAGGTCATGTGTAAAGGCACTTGCAGATATTCACACAACGTACCAGGCCTGCAGACACTTTCACTAACTGCAGGAACACTCATTTGGGCTGCAGAACTGTCAAAACAGACTTTGTAACAAAGTTTAGACTTGTATTGAAGAGGAGGACTATTAATCTTGCATGATAACTCTAAGCATGACTTTGTGGGGTGCTCCTGATTTCTTTCTCTCTCCTTCCACAGCACTTGGAAGCCAAGACCCCCCAGCCAGACACAACCTTCTCAGGCTGGTCCAGGGCTACAGAAGCATCATCAAGAGCTGAAGAGCTCACTGTTGCTTGCCCCAAATACACAGTGATTCTCTGACCTTGTCCTTCCCACACAGCTATGTATGGAAGTTTAGCAAGCATGTAAGTTTAGCTAAAATAAAAACCCCCCAAACAACAGCAAAAGCAACCCAAACCCAAATCAACCACCTCACCCTAAGCAACCCAAAAAACCCAAGGTGCTTGGCTGCACAGGCTCCTCACCCTGGGGAGAGGATGAAAGGGTGACCATGTGTGAACCATTAGTCATGGTACAGCAGGGGGGATTGTTCATGGTGTGAGAGCCAGTGCTGAGGTAGGGACCTCTGGGAACAGCAGTGACAGTGACCTCCCCCCTGTCACAGCTTTGAAGGCAGAGATGCAGTGTGTTAGCTCAGAAGCTTGTGCCAGTTTCCAGCATATAACACTACCCCAATTCTCATAGTGACTTTGTTTAATCAGAAATAGAGTTTTGGTAGACTATACAGAAAAATGTGAACACAATCACAAGACACTGGAAAACTCTCCTCATCCTGCCTAGGGGCTTTTTTTCCCCTCACATGCTGTGCTTATCAGGAAGTGTCTGTATTTGGCCTTTAACTGCAGCCAGCAATAAAGGTTATTTCTCACTGAAGCCTATATACTTACTTCTCTATTGCTTCTGTGTCTCATTTGTGTTACTTATGCCATCCCAGCTCCATGCCAGTCCCTCCCACCGTGCCCTGGGTGCCTGTGCTGCTTCTGTCACTCCTTCTGCATGTGTTATGCAGGTAATTAGGAAAAAAAAATATTTGTTCACTGGGAACAAAAGGCTTTGCATAAAGTGCCCATGCCAGTAGATTCAAGCCACACACCCAATTAGACACAAGCTGCCCCACTGCAAGTCCCACAGCTGCTTCCATCAGGTTTTGCTCTATTTCTTGCTCACTCCACGAGCAGAAATAGTTTGTGAACTTTGACGGAAACCCGGCTCTGTATGTGAGCCAATTCTGACGTGTCCGGGGAACGAGGGGACTCTACATGAGGACAGAAGGTTTGGTGCCAGGCGCTCCCGGGGCTGCGCTCCCGGGCAGCGACCCCCGCTGCTGCCCTGCCTGACCGGGGGGGCTTCGGAACCGCTCAAGCCTCTCTTTGACCCCACGGGGGGTCGGGCAGCTGCCTCCAGCACCCCTGTGGGCTCCCCCCGGCTGAGCCCCTCCCGG